TAATAATATCTCTTTGCAGTTGCATAAAATGTAATGGAAAGCACAAATGAGAAGCCTGTTTGGACTTGCTCTTAAGGAAGGGGCTGTGTAATTCATTTATACATTTACCTTCAAGGTTCTGTCGTCGACTGGTTCAGGTCCTACCTTCCACACCGCCTCCACTTCGTCACGGCAAACAGCTTCTCCTCCAGCCCCCGCACTGTCTCATGCAGTGTTCCTCAGGGCTCTGTCCTCCTCTTCACCCTCTACATGCTCCCCCTCGGTGACATCATCCACAGACATGGGGTAAATTTCCACATTTATGCGGATGATACCCAACTCTACCTCTCTGCCTCCACCCTCAACTCCAGGACTATTGGCGTCCTGACCGATTGCCTGTCTGACATCAAGTCCTGGACGAGGGCCGACTTTCTCCAACTCAAAGTCAGCAAGACTGAAGCCCTCCTGATTGGCTCACACCAGCACCTCCACACCTCGGGTGTTGGCAGCATCAGCCTCCACGGCTCCACACTCAACCTCACTAAGCCAGTCAGGAACCTGGGTGTCTTGTTTGACCTTGAACTGTCCTTTCTCCCCCACACCTGCGCCATGACCGACACTGCCTACCACCACCTCCGCAACATTGCCAGACTCCGCCACTGCCTCACCCCTCAGGTTGCCGAAACCCTCACCCACGCATTCGGCACATCAAGGCTCGATTACGGGAACTCCCTCCTCATCGGCCTTCCCAACTCTTCCCTTCACAAGCTGCAGATCATCCAAAACTCTGCAGCTCATGTACTTTCACTCACCAGGCTCCGTGATCCCATCACTCCCACCCTCGCCCGACTCCACTGGCTCCCCATCCCTCAGAGGATGGAGTTCAAGATCCTCGTCCTCATCTTTAACACCTCCCCCCGGGAGTGGGAGCCTTTCCCCCTCCCACCTCTCTGACCTGCTGACTCCCTATCAACCTGCCCGCTCCCTCCTTTCAGGGGGCTCCGGCCTGCTCCGTGTCTCCCGCCCTACCATCAGTGGCCGGGCTTTCAGCCTCTCTCCCCCCACACTCTGCAATTCCATCCCACGGTCCCTTCGCCTCACTTCCTCCCTTGCCTCCTTCAAGCCGGTCTCAAGACTCTTTGATCGTGCCTTTGGTCGCTCTCCCACCTCTCTGCCTTCCCTCACCCCTACACCACCCCTCCCCCATGGGACATCCTCCTGACGTGAAAGCCACTCTATAAATGTAATTTTGTTGTTGTTGTTGTACAAAGGCTGCAATTTATCAATGTTAAGCAATTGACATTTGAGTTTCAGTTACAGTAGTGACGTGGCATCTGTTGTCATAGCATTAGTCCAACCTTAGCCAATGGCCAGATTAATTCAGTGCTGAGAATTGCTCCAATAACATTGAGTTTATCTTGCAGCAGGAATATCAAAATCAGACCCCTGCTTTGTAGTAACCTCATACCATTGTTTTTAGATCTAACGCAGCTTGATCTGGGATGGGTTAAGAAGTCTCTTATGATTCCAGAATGTTTGTAACTCTAGTAAATACTTTATGTTGCATTTAGCAAAAAGACTAGCTGTGTACAGTTTTCTCCTATTTACTTGAGAAGAATTCCAGGCAGCGGCAGCAACATGGAAATATTTGCTGCCATTTTGCAGCACAGTAGAGTCAGCACCAAGTACACACAGTTCACTGAGTCATGGCTTGTCACGTTTCTGGTAGCAGATGTACTTTTATTTCTGGGAGAAGAGTAGAAAGGTGCATTGCTGACCTGCTGAGATAGCTGATATGACAACTTGTTTCACATCTGGCTTCTGGTGCTGACTTTATTGTGCTGCAAAATGGCAGAATTGTGGATTGTCAGATTTCCACTGATGTCATTTCTTGTGAGTTTACCCACAGGAAGCATCATTGATGTTTCTCCTTAGGCATTGCATCCATGTGTACTATACACAGGAATTTTTACTGATATTGCTTCCCTTGCAAAGGGAACACACAGCAACACTTCCTGTGCATAAAACACAGTCGCTACACTTTCTTATGGATCCTGTAAAGTGCTTTGAGATATCCTTCAGGCGTGAAAGAGCCTGTATTAAATAAAAGGATTATTATTGTGACATTGGATACATGCTGACAATATGAAGATCTGGGTCTTGTCTTCAATTAAATTTGGGAGATTAGCAGAGTCTACTTGGAGCTGAACAGGCTCGATCGGCTCGCGCCAGCACCTCTGCACCTCAGGCTCTGGCAGCATCAACCTCCATGGTTGCACACTTCAACTCACCAACTCACCAGCCAGTTAGGAACCCAGGTGTCTTGTTCGACCCTCAACTGTCTTTTCTTCCCCACATCCAAGCCATGACCCGCTCTGCCTTCCCTCACCCCCGTAACATCGCCCAACTCCGCCACTACCTCACCCCTCAGGCCGCTGAAACTCTTGTTCATGTCTTCATCACATCCAGGCTCGACTATGCAAATGCCCTGCTTGTCGGCCTTCCCAACTCCTCCCTTCACAGGCTGCAGATAATCCAGAACTCTGCAGCCCGTGTCCTCTCCCGCACCAAACTCCATAACCCCTTCTCCCCCATTCTCGCCCGATTCCATTGGTTCCCTATCCTTCAGAGGATCCAGTTCAAAATCCTGGACCTCATCTGCAAAGCCCTCCATGGTCTCGCCCCACCCTACCTCTATGACCTCCTAACCCCCTCCAACCCGCCCGCTCCCTCCGCTCAGCCAGGTACGGCCTGCTCCACGTCCCCCGACCCACCCGCCCCATCATTGACGGGAGAGCCTTCAGCCACTCTGCCCCCAACCTCTGGACCTTCTTCCCCCAATCACTCCGCCTCGCCCCCTCCTTAGCCTCCTTCAAGTCCCGCCTCAAAACCCTCCTCTTCGACCATGCCATCGGTCACCCCCCTTCCCCTCCCCTCCCTTCTTCCTGCTGATCCCAGCTCGGGTCTGAAATGCTGTACACTGTCCAGCGCCTTGGGATGTCCTCCCGACGTGAAAGGCTCTATACAAATGTGACCTTGTTGTTGTTGTTGACAAAGGAATGTCAGAATAAAATTAAATCGCTGTGATGACCTTGGTAGTCCAGTTTCTGAGCCAGGTGAGTCCGCAGTACTTGAGGACACTGCTGATGATAGTCCAGCCAGCCTGACTGATCAGTCGGACTTGAAGGGCTCTGAGACGCAGTCTGGCATGAAGGGCGCTATATAAATGTGTTGTTGTTGTTGAGGGTCAGACCAGTCACTGGGGCAGGGATTCTTCCCAATCAGTTAAAATAAATAGGAGAATGGAATTATTGTGCTGTTACCAAATCATGGTAGTGATGCTTAAATTGTAAATGCAGATTGGGTTCCTGCGACAATAGGCTGACTGAATATGATTAAATTCTTTCTGTACAGATCTTGGCGAGTATAATTATTCTGTCAGGGTAACATTTTAAGTTATGTTAATTATACTAAATTTAAATATGCAAAGTCAATTAAAAATAGACATTCCTCTGTAATTCCAGAGTGTCAAATTTATCTCTTCTAATCTGGAATTTATCTCTTCAAAACTGGGATTATTTAGTGAAAACCTTAATTTTTGATCAGTTTAAAGGAGTTGTATATGATCATTGGTACAATTCATCAGATTTTTCTGAACTTTTTCTCAATTTATTGATTACCTCAATACCCTCCTCTTCGACCGTGCTTTCGATCTTCCTGCTTCCATCCCCACTCCCCCACTCCGACCCCCAGCTCGGGTCCATAACTCTGTCTGTCCAGCGCCTGGGGATGTCCTCCCAACGTGAAAGATGCTTTACAAATGTAATTTTGTTGTTGTTGTACCCAGAATTCAGAGTATATTTTTAAGTATTCCCCGCTTCCTCTGCTAAGCAGCCTACAGCTTGCTCCAAGTCCCCCATCCTGCCCAGCCCACCGTTGGCGGTCTGGCATCATCCTTTTTGCCCCCACCCTTTGGAACTCCATCCCACGGTCCCTTCACCTTGCCTCCTTCAAGACCCTCCTCTTCAACCGCACTTTCGATCACACACACACCTCCACCCACCCATACCCCCTTTGCCCTCCACCCCACCTGATCCCAATCTGCAGGTGTGTCCAAATCATTGAAGCCTCAGTGCCTTGGGACTTCCTCCAGATGTGAAATGCACTATACAAATGTAATTTGGTATTTGTTTTTGTTCTAGGTACTCAATGTTTAAGTATAGAATTCTTGAAGATCATAGTACTGTGCCTCGTGTGTCACCATATGTTAAGCTGTTTGACTTGAGTTTCACAAACCCGTTGCCCATTTACTATTCACCCAAAGGTTAAAAGATTCATGATTGATACAAAAGGGCCCTTCGTATTCATTTTTTAATAAAACATTTGACGCTGAGTAACAGTATACTAAAATAAATATAGTATTTTTAAACCGATTCTTGATCTGCAAATCTATCTTCAATGTTGTCATCACTTCCTGGTGGCTGGTTGCTTTACCCAGTTCCCTCTGTCGCATGTTCAAGATCACACACTACTCCAGGACCTCGCATTAGCCTTTTACTGGCAAAGTAATATTTATTACTGGTGAGGAATAATTGATTAGAGAAGGGAGCCCTGGCCAACAATCCTACCCAGAAACAACCCCTTGCGTTTATATGGTGCCCTTCACACAGGTAGCATCTCAGACTGCTTGAATTTATATTATAATTATAACATGATAATTTTATTATAAATACACATTTATGTTATAAAATTAATCCTTGCATTTGATATAGCATCTTTCATGTTAGGACATCTCGAAGCCCTTAACAGGATTTACTGTGAATTGTAATGACTATTTTGTAGGTTAATGCAACACTCACATTGCACACAGCAATGTCCCTTGGATATTTGTAGGATCTTGCTGGTGCAAATGGCTGCTGTTTGGCTACAAAAACACTCAAATAATTTGATCGTAATTGAAGTGCTGTGGGATGTTTTACCATAATAAGACATTGTAAAAATGCAATTTCATTCTTTTATAGACTTTGCAAGGACCTGCGAACAAACTGATAGATGAGCAAACATCACAGGAAGATAATGATGTTCAACGTGAGGTGTTGAAAGAGACATCTGATAAAGATGATGAGTGAGTATGAATACAATTAATGCCTATAGAAAAAAATGCAGACTTTGGGGGTAGTGTTATTCTGTATGTTTTCTTGAGAGCTTCTCTTATTGACCCTGCGCATGGATTCCACTTTCTTCCTAAGTTTGCTGTATTCTTGTGATAGTTTGCATGTATGATAGTGTGAAAGTTTGGGTGATAATTTTTATGTCCTTTTCTTTTACTTTTGCGGTAAACCATCCCTAACTAATAGGATAGGAAGCAGGCTGTTCCCATGTATACAATTCATTGAAAAATCAAAAGTTTGATTTTAATCCAATTGGATTTTGTTCTTTCTCGGGGTGACGACTATTAAACTTTGCAATACATTTTTTCTTAGAATACTTTACCACAAATGTAAAATGAATAAAATGTATAAATATGCAAATAAACCAATCTTTATAGCTGGAGACGAGCAAAACATAAAGATATACCTGTAGAAACTATGGGGATTATTTTAATCTTGTTCTTAGTCATCTTTGTTAATTTAATCTGAACTAATGATATAATCATTTGCCTAACTAGTGGTTCATTCATCATAATACTCTGTTACAGCTATTGTGAGTTGGGATTTTTTTTTCCCTTTCTAAATAGAAAACATTAGTTGGTAGAAATAAGATTTTTTTTTAGTAAAGTTTTAAAGGCGTTGAAATAAACAAAATAAAGTAGTTTTGCCCACAAAATATACAGTCAATTCACTTTACAGTATTCTTCTTATCACGTCTCGAAGATGCAAGGATCATTATTATAAAATAAAGTTTCAGCTTGATTCCTGATATGTTTACATCAATGATGAGGCATTGGCAAATTCATAAAGGTTGTTGCTTTACTTCCATCATCGTGAACACATCTTCCTCGTAAACTTAAAATTGGCTTTTTAAAATAAAGTGAATTTCATTTCTCTTTATTCGAATAACTCTTTTTGGGGGGTTTCTCATTTGCTTTCTGCAGTATTTTCTTTAAAACTTATTTTTTAAAATATAATTTCCCTTTCTTCCTCTCCTCGGTTTATCATTTTTTACACGCATTGCTCTTAAACACGCTGGTGTGCAGCCGGTGGACATGTCCACAGACATAATCATCAGTGCACTATAATCAATCTGCCAGAAAGAATACTTGAGAGATTGGGAAGGAATTGTGGCCTAAACAGCTTTTTGCTCCCCCTTCCTTCTCATCACCAGACTCAACTCATAAGGGGAGACTGAATGAAAATGTCAGTCAAGATTGGAATTTTCCCTGAATGATCAATACTGTAGTGATGAAACTACTGGGTCATCCTTTCCGGATTTTGGCTGCTCAAAGCCGATTACATTTAATCTAAATCAAATATTTCTAAAGCGTCCTGGAGCTACAGCTCCCATTCCTTTGGGAAGCTGTGACTCGGAGCAGATTCTGCATTTCCTGTCTTTGGAGCTAGTGGTGTGTGACAGTTCCTCACAGGCATCAATACGTTCTCTGTGAAGCCTCTTCTCAGCTTGCTTGAAATGAGGGTTATAAATGAGGGTGTTTTGTTGGCATGCTATAAACATTGACAGGATCTAGTTCATAATATAACTGCAACTCTTGGTATAAATGTCCTAATTGATTTATTATTCAATGAGCAAGGTGAGCTTTCAGTGAATACATTTGTAGTACAATGTTCTGTGCAATATTTACACTGTCTTGTTTCTTAAACACAATCTTGTGGTGCTTCACATCCCAGTGGCATTTGTTATAATTTGTAATTTGCTGCAGTATAATCTGTCTATATAGCAACCTTGCAAATGATCTCCCTGACCTTGCTGCAGTATATGCCTCAATTAATTGAAGCAGTTGTATTCTTGGACTCCAAAATATAGTCACAAATTCTTTATTGCACAATTTAGACTACTAATGGTAGTATGAAAGCTATAGTTTCTTGGATGTCAGCAGAATGTCCTCCAGTTATCCCTATTGATTCACTGAGAAATTACATGGAAGAGTGTCTACTGTGTAATTTCCTTTTTATCATAGTTGTTAAATTAGTTTCAGGATAATTTTTCTTTTCTGGATAATTTCTAAGCAAAGTGACTAAAGAGCAACCACTTAGTTACAGCTTAACTTGATCAAACAACGTTCTTGTGGTGGCCATTTCTCTCTACCGGAGAGGTTGACTTTTTCAAGAAGGACACTATTTTCAATGCCAAAGTTGGAAGTGAGTCACAAACTTGTGACTTGACACACATCAGTCGTGCTAAAAGGCAATTTTTTGGCCTTGCAATTACTGCTTAATATCTGTACTACTGCAGATATTTCATAAATGCCCACAACTTGGTTAAGAATTCAATCATCTTTCATTGGAGTCCTTAGCTCAACGATTAGAGCACTCGCCTCACAAGTGAGATACCCAGGTTTGATTCCCAGCAGGGTGAAATTTTGGACAAGTTTCCTTACTCCACACGCCTCTGTTTACCTAGCAGTCAGTAGGAACCCAGCTGTTAGTCGATTGGCAGATTGTTTTTCCTGGGGTAATAATTCCTTCAAAAAAAATAAATTGGTCACTCAATCCACGGCTGTTAGTGGTACACTGCTGTGTGGCTTTCGACCCAGTATATACAGTCAATTCACTTTTCAGTATATTCAATATCCATTGAAGCGCTTTCAGACGTCTCAAAGACGTGATAAGGCGCTATATCAAAGGCAAGTATTATTATTGATTGATTTGGACATTTGTATAATCATTCTACTGGAAGTAAACTCTTCTACATTTTGAAAACGTGTTTATTTCTCTAATGCAGTTTTGAAGGTTATTGACTTGCTGGTTGAAGTAGCTACAACAACAATAAATTACATTGTATAGCGCCTTTCACATTGGGAGGACATCCTAAAGTGCTGGACAGACAAGGATATGCACTGTTGACTGTCCGGCGCTTTGGGATGTCCTGGCTGGAGAAATACAGAGCACCCCAACGCTCTTATGAATCTAATGCTCTATGGAATTATGTAAGCAGGGTGCCTGTTTCCTGTAACAGAGTACTCATCCATTTCAAATGTAGGGAAATTCTGAGAGTGTGTGTGTGTGTCCCTCTGAGAGTGTGTGTGTGTGTCCCTCTGAGAGTGTGTGTGTGTGTCTCTGAGAGTGTGTGGGTGTGTGTCCCTCTGAGAGTGTGTGTGTGTGTGTCTCTGAGAGTGTGTGGGTGTGTGTCCCTCTGAGAGTGTGTGTGTCTCTCTGTGTGTCTGTGTCTCTCTGTGTATCTGTGAGTATGTGTCTCTCTATGCCTCTGAGTGTGTCTCTCTGTGTGAGTGGGTGTGTGTCTCTTTCTGTGTCTGTGTGTGATGGAAGGCCCCAAGAGGCAGGAGGTAGTGACCTCCTGGAGCCTCGCAGTCACATTGGTGTTTCTCTGCTTTCTCTCCCCCCACCGCACCAGTCCACACAGTTTTTGTTAAAGAAAGCATCAGTAATCTCGATTTCAAGTTTCTTTAAAATATGTACCCATGGTGCAGGTCATGCCATTTGTTGTGCTCCAGCAAATTCCATTGTAATAACTAATATTAATAATGCATAACAATTATTTTGCTTCATCAAAGGAACATGCCATGTAAACAGTGCTAGTCATCGGAAAGTTTAGAGTGTACATAGTTGTCCATGTGACATCTACTCTTCATCTTTTAATTATTCAGTTAGTCAATGTTTTTATGGACTAGTTTGTTTTATGTTCTTAACTGAGCATCATTTTGTTATATTAGCTTGTGCACATCATCATCATTGTGGAGTCCTGTAGCTCAGTGGTTAGAGCACTCGCTTTGAAAGTGAGAGACCTGAGTTCAATTCCAGGCAGGTCAGGACGAAACCTTGGGCAAGTTTCCTTACTCCACACAGAGCCTAATAATAATCCCTCCAAAAACAAAAACAATAATAAATTGGTCATTTTCAATCTACGACTGTTTGTGGGACATTGCTGTGCGCAATTGGCTGCCGCGTTCGCCCACAAATATACAGTCAATTCACTTTACAGTCTATTCTGTGAAGCGCTTTGGGACGTCCTCCCGACGTGAAAAGCGCTATATCAAATGCAAGGATTATTATTATCAAAACAATTAAACCTAGACTGAAAAAATCCATCAAAAAGCTCTAAAGCACTTGATTCATGTAATCATCATATCCTCAAGAAAGCTTGATTAATTGTGAAGCAAAAATAATTAATACTTGTTTCTCTGAGTATTTTGAAAATGTGTGACATAAAATGAATACAAAAGAGCATTTCATAATTTGTGATGCCACACATTCTTTAGTGTACAGCATAATATAATTTCCAATAGAAAACCTTCCATGTTGCAACACATTCAGCTCATTGTACTAGCACAAGACGTACTCTGTGATTCCAAAGTTATCAATTCACGGACTAAATTCTTTATATAAATTTAGATCTTATTACTGAAGTTCATATCCACTGACTGATTTTCTCTCTTTAGTCCTCACTTGTGAAGTTGGTGATGTAATGGGATAAGCTTAGCAAACATGTATTGGTACCTTTCCCCCAAATAGTAATTATTTGGGTCAACATGAACACCTGAGTATTTGGACAAAAGAAAAATCTAAACTTTCACCTGGAGATAGCTTCTGGACCTTTGCAGCATTTTTGCAGATAGGTTTGCCTTAATTTCACCCATAGATCCCAACAAAGTCACTCTCTTGTAATAAGCGGCAGAAAATTCTGGAGACTAGTTAAAACCTGGGATATAAGAACCAAAAGTTTCATTTTTGCTAAGTTAGCTGATCTCAAAAAGGGGAAACAGTTGGTGCACTACAATTAACCTCAACAGTCCTTGAGCTATGAAGGAGAAAATCAGATTTCAGTACCTCATTCCTACACAGAATCCACTTTGTGGTCCAATTTAGGTTAGTCCAAAGGAATATATTTTCAATTTTGTAAATTAATGTTAACAATGTTAAACGTGTGCCACTGCGTATATTATTGGCACCACACTTGTGATAACTATGAAAAACATGACTTTTTCCCGCATTTATTTTTAAAAATTGTCAATCATTGAGAGCAGTTGTGAATTGTATGTTTTTATTTAACAGTTCAGTCTACCACTGCACAATCTTGTTGTTGTGCTTCAAACTCCACATCCACCTGCGAACACCCATACCCTCACCCACTCTGCTACTGAAATCCTCATTCATGCCTCTTTCACCTCAGAGATGGACTAATGCTCTCCTTGCTAGCCTCCCACAATCTTCATCTCATCCAAACATCTCCGGCCCTTATTTCATCTTACACCCATTGCTCACTCCCATCGTTGCAAGGCTCCATCGGGTCCTAGTATCTCCGGGGAACAACTTTGTTCAATCCTTGTTCTGATTATCAAAACCCTTTCCAATCTCATCCCTCGTGACCTGTGTGATCGCTGTGTGTGTGTGTGTGTGTGTGTGTGTGTGTGTGTGCAAGTGCGCAGTGTGATGAGATTCTTCTATGGGTTATTTGAACTAATTTATCCCAAATGTTCTTTTTGGTGAGGAAGTCTTAGTTTTAAATCTGTCTTCTTCGCTAATTTTGTATTACTCTTTGTGTCCTGATGTAGGATTGGGAATTCTGATTCAATCTAGGCTGACACTCCAATGCTATGCTATGGGTACACATTATAGGTGAATGTTAAAGTGCACTATTCAAAAAGAGAGAGGAGTTTCTCCCAGTGTCCTGGACAACAATCCCTCAAATTGATCACTCACTTCAATGTAAATTGACTGCCTTGTTTGCCTAGAAATGCATGATCACCATACTTCATAGTAAAAATCCTGTGAAATACTTTGAGATGTTTTGATTAAATGATAAGGCGCTGTATTAAATCAAAGGATTGTTATAATTTCACCTAATATGTTTTAAAATCTGTTGGTATTAACATTAAGGATTGGGTAAATTTACAATATGCTTATATGTTATAGTTTTGAAATCTCAACTTTAGCACATTATATTGTATACCATAACTTCCAGTGAATAATGACTAAACTGAATGGAGCACAATTTTTAAATTTAATATTAAGATATGGTGTTTAGTGCTTTTTTTAAAAAAATACTTATTTTAAGTCTGAAAATGGATAAATGTCTATAGAAGTGTTAAAATACAATTGCTTGGTTGGCTTTTTGTAGTGTTTTTTGTAAAATATGTGGGGTTTATTCATGCTTTCCCACGAAAGTCTAATAATTCTATATTTGTCTGAACTAAAGTCTCAAACCACTTTTATAATATTTGTTTCATCCATAGGCTTATTTCATTAGAAGAAGACTATGAGAATAAAGAACCAAATCGATCAGGTATAGTTTCATAACTTCAAAAAACACAACTTAAAAATTAAATTTTTAAAACATTGCTGATTCATCCCCTCCCTCCTCACTATGAAACAAAACACATTAAAAACATTTTATTGCTTCTACTGTGGATGAAAGTTTCTCAGATAATCATTTACCATCTCTCTGTGTTCTGGGGTTAATTCCCCTCAACAGCCATATCAGGTTTAGATTACATGGGTTCCCCCCCCCCCACTCCGCCCCCCTTCTAGATCTTGTTCCATTTCTAAAAAAAAATTTAAATAATCGCTGCGCTCACCAAACATTGATAAGAGAGATAACAGCAATTACTTGTTTGGAATCAAAACTTTGCACTTGGATGGTTTCATATACTTCTCTACTCCATGTAGCTGGAAAAGATGCTTTGTCATCTTTGGAGGTGTCCTCAGGCAATCAACATAAAGCAGGTAATGCCATTGTCAATGCATTTATCATAAGGTTTCAAACACATTCATTTTCTTTTCGTTGCAAGTGAGCACTTCAAATGAAGAGCTAACCACATTTTAAACCTTTACCCCGTTAGAGCCACTAGATGATTTGTTAAATTTGAAACAGGAGGAAAAAGCAACATTTTCTCAGAGTGGTAAGTGTAAAGACACTGCAATACATCACTGATCATATATCTTGCCATTCAATTATCTAATTATTGATCAAATAAAAACAATCCAATGGAGATTTGGTTGTCAGTTGACTATATTTAATGGTGTCAGTATGTAGTGCAATCCCATTATAATGTGCTTCTTTATGCTGCAAATTTTAAAAAGCAGATGCCGTGTGTACCACATTCACTGCACCTGATCTACTTGCTTGCCATGTACCAGATGGTTTTCACACTAAACGGGCCGATTTCTAAGTCAATAGATTGCCACCAATGTCATCTCCAACATAGGAGAAATGTAATCTACTTCATATTGGGACAAAAAATCCAGGAAGAAATTATTATTTGAGCGGAAGGAAAATAATATGTATAGAAAATGAAATGGACCTGGGGGTCCTGATTGACAATAAATTGAAGCTCTCCCAACAATGCTCTGTGGCAGTAACTAAAAGCAAATCAGCTGTTGGGATGTATCAAAAGATCAAAAGCAAGTCAAAGTAGTGAGGTAATCACTATCGCAACTGTATAAATCATTGGTAAGATCGTACTTAGAGTACTGTGTGCAGTTCTGGTCGCCGCAGTACAAAGAGGAAATGGAACAAATCAAGAGGATACAGAGGTGGGCAAGCAGAATGATTGAGGGAATGGAAGGACTGGACTATGAGGAGTGACTAAGTAAATTGGGCATGTTCACGCTGGAAAAGAAAAGATTGAGAAGCGACATGATTGCTGTCTAAGATTCTAAAGGGGGTAGACAATATAAATCATAACAGGCTGTTTCAGGCTTGTCCAGAATAATAAAACCAGAGGACACGGCCTGCGATTGAAGGGGGGTAAATTAAGAACAAATCTATGGAAACACTATTTCAGTGAGCAAATAGTGAGCCTGTGGAACAGGCTCCCTAGGGAGATGGTTGAAGCAGGAAGTGTTGATTCATTCAAACACAGATTAGATAGTTTTCGTTTAGGAAATAACATTATGGGATATAGTACATAGGTAATTCGGGATATATGTGCATGTGAACACGAGGAAGGTGGAAGGCGATCTAGATGGACCTTTTTCGTTTTTTCGTCTAGCATTTCTTATGTTCTTATGTAGCCAGAGATTTGATGCTCTGGGTGTCAGCCAGTTTAGCTTTTCATATTTAACAAAAAGACTTACAGTCATTAAGTCATCACCAATGTCACTTTCTGCTTTAAGCGCAGGAACTGACGTTGGCAAGATGACCTGTAAGTTGAACGTTTTTTATATAGTGTGGAAGTTGAAAAGGTACCCACACCTTTCAAAATCGACCATGGAAGTTAAATAAAATATATGTAAAAGCATCTAGGTTAGAATTGGGTAGAATATAGGTTTTAAAGCAAATATGTAAAATTAATAATAGAAAATAGATTTAAAAAGGGGAAAATAAATTTAAATAAAAGGAAAACAGATTCAATTAATATAGGCAACAATTTAAAAATGTTTTGATTCTGTACTGATTTTAGTGGATTAAGGTCAATATAATAATACAATTACCCTGGGGTATGAATAATTGGTACGTTCTACAGCATAACAGTGAGTAAGCTGAGGTGCAGAAGCAACTGTCACCCAAAGATGGGGATCTTGGTAAATCTGCTGTCAGTCTATAGTCACAAATGTATATTCATCTTCTAAATGTCTTGACATATATTGCAAATTCATCTTATTTCCTAAATTATTTTCCAGTACCAGTATTAATTTTCAGCAATTCATTTTCAAAGTGCCTTTTTATGATAGTTATTCTGAAAAACCCAAAGGACATTAGTACTCTAAGAAAATGAAAACTCTTCAAAGTATATATTGTATAATGAGGATTAACAGATTTAGCAGTTACTCCATTCATTTTGAGCCCATACATGACTCAGCACAATGAAATGTCTTTGTCTTTTTATTTCACCAAAAGCTGATTAAAAACAAAATTCCAGACCAAGGAGGCTACTTTTTCTTGAACAAATCAGACTGGCCACATTTTACATGGGAGCAGTGTCAGATTATTCTTCTGTGTTATTCATCCTTTGGATGAGACATTGAACCGTGGTCCCATATGTCTGTTCAGGTGGACTTAAAGATCTCATGGCCCTACTCGAAAAGAGAAGGGCCAGATAAAGTTGGTCATTCACTTTGTGGCTGTTTGTGTGCAAATTGGCTGCCACATTTGTCTACAAATACACAGTAAAATCCTATGAAATGCTTTGAGACCGATTGACAACATGATACGCAGCTATATCAAATGCATATATTATTTATTCATTTCAGCAACTCCAGAACGTTCTTATCAAATCCACACAGCAATTACACTGTGTCTGTCCTTTAATGAATTTGAAAGGCCATGGAAGGCTACAGCACATTAAATCAGTTCAAGTGACATCCCACTCTGTGAGAATGCAGCTTCAAACTCTTATTGGAATTTCACTTCCAATCCAGTCTGACATTCCAGGTCTGGGGGAAGCACTGCATTGACAGTTGTGCCGTTATTCAGATGAGACATTGAACTGAAATCCCCTTTGCTTAATTTTCAGTGGACTTTAAAGATCCCATGACATTATTGGTAAAGAGAGGGCGATTTGCACGCTGTCCTGATCCTCCCGATTAATGGGCCATTCACAGGCCATCGAGGGATGTGGGACCTCCCAGAACACACAAAATGCTGCTACCTTTATCACCAAATAGTCGCTACACCTGATAGCAGTTGCTTGTGAATTGCTTTTGAGATGTTGCAACTTTATTAATTTTGGTGGTCTTAAATGGTTTATGGGATACAAATTGAGACCCCGAAGTGCCTCCTGTATATTCCTGGAGCATCGTGGTGTATTTCAGGTTGACGGCTGCAACCTTCCCTTCCACCTGGATGGTAATAGTTATGTGAACTAGATTCCCCAGACCTTCAGTCACAGCAAGTTTTTTTTTGAGGGGAAAAGTTGTATTTGGCTTAAAATTGCATGGTGTGCTTTGATAATTATAATAATAATTCATTGTTGGAAATTGTTTGTTAGGAATATTTAAGTCTTATTATCTTATTATCCCCTTACCACCCACTTTTTTTTGGGGGTGCGGTTCTGCCTGAACCTGCCTTTGACGTTGCCGGCTGTGAAGTGTTTGATTACTGGTTCCCAGAATGCTGGTTTCACTCGGATTTCTTTACGTTAAGCAGGTATCCTGGGAACCAGAACTGAAAGAAATGCCAATCTCTGAGGCTGCCTTTGGCCCAACTTCTCTGTTGAAGTTGGGGGAGGGGAATTACACCCACGGACAGTCAGTAATTATCGACTAGCATGACCACAAGTTTCAACTACCCTAGAATTGTCAATGGTGTTAGTGGTAATTAGCACATCGCATTTTTCATTCTGTTAACTGAATGTGTCTGAGTTTAAAGAAAACGATTACCTGGCAGAGGGATAATAATCTGCAGGAAACCCTTCTGGTCTGCATACCAACTCTTTTTCTAGTCATATAGCAAGGAAGGGGTGGGGGGGGATCTGTGTCTGATCACGGTTTTGCATAGTGACGAGCATGAAATTTGATTTTCCCCAATTGTTCTGATGCAGTTGGATTTCTAAGCTGTCTAAGAGCACATGAGCAAGGAAAGAAAACAAACTATCACCCCACTTGCCCTCCACTCTGGCTTAGTGTATATACGACAGTCCTTGGCAATTGCTACATTTGTACACAGAGGCTTTAACTAATGAGTAAAATAAAAAATTAAAATTAAGTCTGTTCCGGAGGTCTGCTCCCTCTTTCCCAAATGTTTATTTTCCCAGACCTTCCCAGTCCCTGAAAAAAAGTACCTGATAGACCAAATACTCAACTGTTCTCAGTTGATTTGTAGAGGACATTTCGTAGAACTTTCTAAAAAAAAAGGTGACGTGTGGGTAGATTTGGATTTTTACTCAAAAAAGAAATCCTAAGATCTAACAAAAAATAATTTATTTTGGTTTTCTGATTTTTTTTATCATTCAGATCTTTCCCTTTCCATTTTATAATGCATTCCTTATTGTGAAATTGTGGTTCACAGCATGCACATATAGGTCATATTTAATGGAGTTTTATTGGGGCATCTGACACCTGTAATAAGATACAAATTCACATTTCGAAACAGTGTAGCAGGCTGGTGATTTATGCAAAATGACAACATCAAATAAATAAGACAGATTTTATAAAAATGTAAAATACAATAATCAGAAATCAGAAAATTGGAATGTTGTTAAAATTCATGTTGGTATTCATCAAACAACCCATCCAGGACAGCATTGTTTCTCATTAATTTGTCATTCACCTCATGTCTGTATTTGGAACCTTCCTTGATTTTTTCTCTCTGTTGCTCTTTATTTTGGTTTCACAATACAAAATTACATTTGTATAGCACCTTTCACGTCAGGAGGACGGCCCAAGTCACTAGACGGTCAGGGATTTGGACCCAAGCTGGGGATCGGGGAGGGTGGAGGGTAGGAGGGTGGCTGAATGCTCAGTCAAAGAGGACGGTTTTGAGACGCGCCTTGACCTCTCCCACCGTCTTCATTTTGTTTCCACAAACGGCTTTTCCTCCGCCCCCGCACTGTCTCGTGCGGTGTCTCTCAGGGCTCTGTCCTCGGTCCCCTCCTCTTCACCCTCTATATGCTCCCCCTGTGGTGACATCATCCGCAGACATGGGGTTAACTTCCACATGTATGCGGATGACACCCAACTCTACCTTTCCTCCTCTACTCTCAACTCCACGACCACCGATGTCCTGACAGCTGCCTGTCCGACATCGAGTCCTGGACGAGAGACAACTTTCTTCAGCTCAACGTGCGTAAAACTGAGGCCCTCCTGATTGGCTCACGTCAGCGCCTCCGCACCTCAGGCGCTGACAGCATCAGCATCCAAGGCTGCACTCTCCACCTCTCAAAGCCAGTCAGGAACCTCGGGGTTCTGTTCGACTCTGAGCTGTCCTTTCTTCCTCATATCTGCGCCACAACTGGCACCG